TTGCATCCACACATCTGCGTTATCAATCACATTCGTAACATTTCCAAAACATGTGCGTGTCTTACGTCCTGTCCTGCGTTGGGGAAAAAACAGAAAGTGGGCGGAGCTTTGATGCAGACGCCGGGTAACGGCACTTTTACAGTATAGAAGACACTCAGAGTAAAGAGTATGTTTACAAGCACTGACCCGTCCTCAGCCCTGGTTTAGTTCCTGGTTTAGTCCTGGTTTAGTCTCTGGTTTAGTTGTTTTCAAGCGTGGAGTCCCCGCGATCACTTTGCTGCTCTCTGATGTGGAGGACTGTTCGCTGCTGCGAGCATCTCACAGCGAACAGTTTTAAGGTAGTATGATCCATTGCTTCAGTGATCAGAGGAATTTAGGGGTGGTACTGTGGCGTGCGAGAACGCAAAACTCCGGTTATCTCTGACCTACACACAAATGCATTAACGGTTTCTTGTCTTTTCAAAAATCTCCACTTTGCCCGGAGTTTTTTGTATATATTAGTTTAGAATGTGTAATTTTTTATTTATTTAATGCGATCTACCAATACTACCTTTGCGATCGACTGGTAGATCGCGATCGACGTATTGGGAGCACCCGCTCAAGACTATTGGTACTCCTAATTGTCAATCATTCTGGTGATACGTACTCGTCAAAGAGGACCAGAGAGTTTCGTTCTTTCCTAAAATTTGGGAAAATCCTCCTTTATTACCTTCCTATTTAACATAAGATAGAGAACCTTTATTTGTCCCACAGTGGGGAATTTTCAATGTTGCCGCGCACATACAAGTCCAGCAGTAAGAGCCAAAGATGGAGCACACAAATATACATAACTGCTGTGTTTCTGAGCTAGCTCTAAATACGTCAATATAATCTATCATTATAACTGTCTAGTGATCTATACAGTGTAAAGAGTATACAATTATATATTTGTCAGCAGTGTTAAATTGGACAAACTTTAATTGTACTTTATGGGGAAGACCACAAGCTCCAGCTTCTTTCTCTGGATAAAAGTGGCAGTGAGCTACTCCTTGGTACAGATGAAATAAAAAGTAAACATAATGGTGTGCTAAATGGATCAAGTGGTTTTTATCTTGATTATATTTTGAGGTTCTTTCACAAAGATTTTGAAATGGCACAAATGCTGAAACAACAATTTTATTTCAAGCTGCAAAGATTGTATTTCTTTTTCCATTTGGCAAATCCTGTGTTCAAGACCGTCAAAAGGTTTTCTCTTCATTTAGCCATTTTGGGTTAGGGTTAATTGATTAAAACATTTCTAAATTGTGAAGTCTCATACAACAAGACAATATATGTATATCTGCACAAAGCTAATTCACAATTGTTTTAAACATGTAGCTACTTGTAAAAAGCTTGTAGCTTTTTCAAACTTGTGATAGAACAAACAGTTTGGAGAGAAGTTAGAATGCAATTTCATTACATAGTTTTTTTTTTTTCTATTGTGGTGAAAACCAGCTTTTATGAAGTCATAATATTCTTGGGCCAGTTACAGTCATAAATCTGGGACACCTTTGATTTGATCAAAATCCTATGGCAGGATTCTAAAAACTGAAGGAAAGAACCGCCCTCTCAACTTTTTGAAAACAAAACAGTAGAATGTTTCCTTTTTTTTATTTCATTAAGTGTAGTTTTCTCACTCCCACCATACTTCCCTATACCGTAGTATGGCCACATCCAAATGCTCCGTTCTACTTGCAGACCAAGTTAGCAAGTGATGGTTTTGTTCTTTGAGCAAAAATGACATTTGATTCATAACAGAACATGTAGAAAACGATGTAAGATCCCATTTACAGGGGTGGTGGTCAAAGGAAGAGCAAAGAAATTATGTCTGGACTTCAAGGAGATGGTCAAATTACTCAAACATGAATGAGTCACCCTGAACAAAGTTCGAGTGTGTAAAAGCCAACTATAACATGGTCAAAGGCTGTGAAACTTAGATTTTGCAATGTTGTATGTCCCTTTTAAATGGAAAGGCTGTAGATATGTCTTTCCCCCTTGTCCTCGTGCCCTGACCAATCAGCATTCTGCCTGTGTCGTGGAGTTGGATAAAACATTAAAATAGATGAGTTTGTTGAGGTCGGAGTTGATGCGGAGACGCTAGCCTGTCTCGGAGCACTAATCTAACAGCCTTCCTTCACTTTTCTGATGTGCAAATAGGGAACAACTTTGCAAACTCGTGTTGCATGTTTGGTCCTGTCATCCAGTGCGTTGTATTGAAGCTCCTGTCATGGGCCCATCACCGCCCCGTCCTGAGCTGTCACTGCCTAGTGTCATGTGGGGCCAAGTGCAGCCAGTGTGGAGCTGTCACCACACCCAAGCCTCTTATCGCTGTGACACGCGCACACTTTGAAATGCACAGTGCCTTTCCTGCAGGCAGCTGTTCCACGGAAGGTCACCGAGGGTCTCATTGCAACTCCCAAAACTCCAAATAGCGGGGAATGTAGTTTGTTGTTTTGTATTGAGGTGTGTTTGTTTTTCTTTTACGTGACAATTTTTTTTATACCAACAAAGTCTCTGTGTTTAGACTTTCTTCATGTCCCAAGATATCATGATCGCTTAGTGGCTGAATCAGAGGTACTTTTTTGAGGCGTTTATTAATTTTAAGCACAATGAATGCCAATGGGCTGCTCAAATATGTCATTCATAACTCTGTAATACACACTCCAGAGGCAAGAAATGGGCCAGCACGGTGGCTGTAGTGGATAGTATGCTCTCGTTTCTCAGTAAGAAGGTCTTCAGGTCTGGGAAGGGTTTCTACAGCGGACCACTGCTCCTGACCTAAGCCTTAGTGGCATCAGGATGGGTTAAAATGTAGAGGAAAAATTGCACTACAGGAATTCCATCCATCCATTTATTTTCTTTCCCTTAATCCATGTTGGGTTTTAGGGCGTGATAATCAGAGCTGCACCTAATTCACAGAGCACCAGCCCCTCACTGATCCTCCTGCAGGTGTCCACAGGAGGATGGTGCTCTAGTCTGAGCTGCCTAGGTCATTCAGCGGGGGCTTCATGCAAAGTGGGGATTAAGTATACTTGCCCAAGGACACAATGGACAGCAGACATCAGTGGGAGTTGTGAAATAGATCTTGTGTGGGCTCAAACCCACTAAACCTCAAGCCCCAAGGCAATGCTTAACCAACTGAGCCACTGTCGCTCCTCTGAGGGGATTTACTCAAAGAGATAATTTTTAACTAAACAAATATACTTTGTTTTAAAACAGACACACCACTTACACGTTTTATAAAGAATAATGCTCATCCATGCTCTTCAACACACACACATAAGTGATGGACTGAAGCGTTCGTTGCCAAAGGGCCAAATCATTTCCTTTATAAAGAGAAAAAACACAAAATCCATCTGTTACGCTTGTGCTACTCGACATTTAGGGTTGTCAAATATATAATCGGAAGTTTCCTGATGTGACATGCAGTTAAAAGAAAATAAATCACCAATGACAAATTGTAGGGATTGTTCTATAAAGGTGTTGCAAATTAAATATATTATTTATGGCGGGGGTTTGTGCTCTTCCATGTGCACATAGTAAACCGGCAGGTGTAATCAGCGTAGTACTTTACTGCAAATTATTTTATGATAAATATGTGTCGTGTGATGGTTATAGTTTAGAGAATCCAGCAGCCATTATAGGGGGCCAATGTCAGATTAAACATAAAAGCTGGGGTATCTAACTTCTTTCAAAACTTTTGTCTCTATCCCTAGTTTTCACATGGATTGCATTCTTGGTCTCTGCCAATTGGAAACAAGATGTTTATTTTTTTTTCTAATAGAATAAAGATAGCCTTTTTGTGGTCTGATACGTCAATATTTCTGTTGGGACAAACATGATACCAAGAAAAAGTATTTTCTTGGTAGTTAGTATTTAGTATTTTTATAATGCAATTTCAGTATATTTTTAATAAAATTCTTGTATAAGCCATGTCATTTTTGCATGGTATATTATAACGTCCTTGAAAAAGTTGACATGGCTTTCCCAACCCTCCTCAGTGAGTCACACATTCACCACCAGCCACAACCACTAAACTCGAAAGACACTGCCCTGTCACCACGTCCATGTTATTCAATATGATGGGCCCACATCACAACCAGCCTTCTGTTGATTTTCTGTTTATCCTCTTTTTGGACTTGGATGTCACGTTGAATATGGCAGCTCGGCGAAGTATTGGCGGGGGTGGTGCGGTTGTCCGTTCCGATCGGATCAGCTGTGTACGGGCCTGTGTATGGGTTTGTGTGCGAGTCCCCAGGAGCACACAGCTTGTGCTCCATGTATGTTGACCTACATGATGGGGACCCGATGGGGTATAGTCTCGTTCGGGGACGTACAGTAAGTGTTGGCCCTCCGACTCTCAGCTGTGTGGAGGCAGCTGATGAACCTCCCCTGAGTTTATCGAAGGAAGTTATTTGTTATTTTTGCCGTGAGCCTATTACAAGAGTCTGTGACAAGAGTGTATAAAATTGAGTTTGAATTGTACAAAAGTGAGAGTTATAATTGTGGAAGTAATTATACGTGTTGTGCAACGTCTAAAATAGGATAATTACTAGTGGTGGGAAGCAACTTCTTTAGTAGGTTACAATTCTAATTGGATCAGAACAGCATTCACTTGAATGGAACAAAGTAAATATGGATGAATGATTATTAATGAAAAAGAAACAAGAATTCTGCATTGGACATTTGTGGAACTGTTAATTAATTATTATGTATTACAAATAATTAAATAAACAGTACCACAAAATGTCCATGCAGAATTCTTGTTCTTTGTCATTATAATAATCATTCATCCATATTTACTTGTTCATTCAAGTGATGCTGTTTCTGATCCAATTAGAATTGTAACCTACTAAAGAAAGTTGCTTCCACCACTAGTATTTATCCTGATTTTAGACCGTTGCACAACACGTATAATTACTTCCACCAATTATAACTCTCACTTTTGTACCAATTTCAAACTCATTTTTTTACACTTCTTGTCACAGGACTCTTGGGTAATGGCTCACGGCAAAAATAACAAATAACTTCCTCTCGTCAAACTCAGGGGAGGGTTCACAGCCTGCTCCACACAGTGCGAGTCGGAGGGGGCACACATTTACTGTAGTCCCTCCGAACGAGGACTGGATACCATCGGCGGTCCCCATCATGTAGGTCAAACATACATGGAGAACAGCTGTGTGCAGTCCTGGGGGACTCGCACACAACCCAAACACCAGGCCGTACACAGCTGATCCGATCCGGAGAGGACTAACGCACCCACCCCCGCCAATACTTCGCCGAGCTGCCATATTCAACGTGACATTCCAGTCCAAAAGAGGAAAACAGAAAACAACAGAAGGCTGGGTTTGATGTGGGCCCATCATATTGAATAACATGGACGTGGTGAAGGGCAGTGGCTTTCGAGGTTTAGTGGTTGTGGCTGGTGGTGAATGTGTGACTCCACTGAGGTGGGTTGGGAAAGGCCATGTCAACTTTTTCAAGGACGTTATGAATATTACCATGCAAAAAATGACATGGCTATACAAGAATTTAATTAAAAATATACTGAAATTGCATTATAAAATACTAAATACAAAATACCAAGAAAATACTTTTTCTTGGTATCATGTTTGTCCAACAGAAATATTGACGTATCAGACACCAAAAGGCTATCTTTATTTCTATTAGAAAAAAAATTAAACAATCTTGTTTCAATTGGCAGAGACCAAGAATGCATCCATGTGAAAACTAGGGATAGGAGACAAAAGTTTTGAAAGAAGTTAGATACCCCAGCTTTTATGTTTGAATTTGACATTGGACCCCTATAATGGCTGCTGGTTCTCTAAACTATTAACCATCACACGACACATATTTATCATAAAATAATTTGCAAGTAAGTACTACGCTGATTACACCTGCCGGTTACTATGTGCACATGGAGAGCACAAACCCCCGCCATAAATAATATATTTAATTTGCAACACTTTATACGAACAATCCCTACAATTTGTCATGGTGATTTATTTTCTTTTAACTGCATGTCACATCAGGAAACTTCCGATTATATATTTTGACACCCTAAATGTCGAGTAGCACAAGCGTACAGATGGATTTTGTGTTGTTTTTCTCTTTTGATAAGGAAATGATTTTGCCCTTTGGCAACGAACGCTTCAGTCCATCACTTATGTGTGTGTGTTGAAGGAGCATGGATGAGCATTTTTCTTATTTAAAACGTGTAAGTGGTGTGTTCTGTTTAAAACAAAGGTGATATTTGTTTTAGTTAAAAATATCTCTTTGAGTAAATCCCCTCAGGAGGAGCGACAGTGGCTCAGTTGGTTTAAGCATTGGCCTTTGGGCTTGAGGGTTAGTGGGGTTTGAGCCCAACACAAGATTATTTCACAACTCCCACTGATGTCTGCTGTCATGTGTCTTGGGCAATATACTTAACCCCACTTTGCATGAAGCCCCCGCTGATATGACCTAGGCAGCTCAGACTAGAGCAGCCATCCTCCTTGTGGACACCTGCAGGAGGATCAGTGAGGGGCTGGGTGCTCTGTGAATTAGGTGCAGCTTCCTGATTATCACGCCCTAAACCAGACATGGATTAAGGGAAAGGAAAATAAAGTGATGGATGGAATTCCGTGTAGTGCAATTTTTCCTCTACATTTAACCCCATCCTGATGCCACTAAGGCTTAGGTCAGGAGCAGTGGTCGCTGTAGGAACCCTTCCCCAGACCTGAAGACCTTCTTACTGAGAAACGAGAGCATACTATCCACTACCGCCACCGTGCTGTCCCATTTCTTGCCTCTGGATATAGTGTATTACAGATTTATGAATGACATATTGAGCAAGCCCATTGGCATTCATTGTGCTTAAAATTAATAACGCCTCAAAAAAGTTACCTCTGATTCAGCACTAAAGCCTATCATGATATCTTGGGACATGAAGAAAGTCTAAACACAGAGACTTCGTTGTATAAAAAAAAATTGTCACGTAAAAGAAAACAAACACACACTCAATACAAAACAAACAAACTACATTTCCCCGCTATTTGGAGGTTTTGGGAGGTTGCATGAGACCCTCGGGTGACCTTCCGTGGAAACAGCTGCTGCAGGGAAAGGCACTGTGCATTTCAAAGTGTGCTGCGTGTGTCACAGCGATAATAAGAGGCTTTGGGTGTGGTGACAGCTCCACACTGGCTGCACTTGGCCCCACAGTGACACTGCAGTGACAGCTCAGGACGGGGGCGGTGATGGGCCATGACAGGAGCTTCAATACAACGCATGGGATGACAGGACAAAACATGCAACACGAGTTTGCAAAGTTGTTCCCTATTTGCACATCAGAAAAGTGAAGAAGGCTGTTAGATTAGTGCTCCGAGACAGGCTTAGCGTCTCCGCATCAACTCCGACCTCAAACAAACTCATCTATTTTTAATGTTTTTATCCACTCCACGACACAGGCAGAATGCTGATTGTCAGGGGCACGAGACAAGGGGGAAAGACATATCTACAGCCTTTCCATTTAAAAAGGGACATACAACATGCAAATCTAAGTTTCACAGCCTTTGACCATGTTATAGTTGGCTTTTACCACACTCGACTTTGTATCAGGGTGACTCATTATGTTTGAGTAATTGACATATCCTGAAGTCCAGACATAATTTCTTTTGCTCTTCTTTGACCACCACCCGGTACCATGGGAGTTTACATCGTTTTCTAATGTTCTGTTATGAATCAAATGTCATTTTTGCTCAAAAGAACATAAACATCACTGCTAACTTGGTCTGCAAGTAGAACGGAGCATTTGGTAGATGTGGCCATACTACTGTATAGGGAAGTATGGTGGGAGTGAGAAAAACTACACACTTTAATGAAATAAAAAAAGGAAACATGTCTACTGTTTTGTTCAAAAAGTTGAGAGGGCGGTTCTTTCCTTCAGTTTTTAGAATCCTGCCATAGGATTTTGATCAAATCAAAGGTGTCCCAGATTATGACTGTAACTGGCCCAAGAATATTATGACTTCATAAAAAGCTGGGTTTTCACCACAATAGAAAAAAAAAAAAACTATGTAATGAAATGCATTCTAACTTCTCTCCAACTGTTTGGTTTCTATCACAAGTTTGAAAAAGCTACAAGCTTTTTACAAGTAGCTACATGTTTAAAACAATTTTGTGAATTAGCTTTGTGCAGATATACAATATTATGTCTTGTTGGTATGAGACTTCACAATTTAGAAATGTTTTAATCAATTGAACCCTAACCCAAAATGGCTAAATGAAGAGAAAACCTTTTGACGTTCTTGAAACAGGATTTGCCAAATGGAAAAAGAAATACAATGGCTTTGCAAGCTTGAAATAAGATTGTTGTTTCAGCATTTGTGCCATTTCAAAATCTTTGTGAAAGAACCTCAAAATATAATCAAGATAAAAACCACTTGATCCATTTAGCACACCATTATGATTTACTTTATTTCATCTGTACCAAGGAGTAGCTCACTGCCACTTTTATCCAGAGAAGAAGCTGGTAGCTGTGGTCTTCCCCATAAAGTACAATTAAAGTTTGTCAATTTAACACTGTGACAAATATATAAATTGTATATCATTTACACTGTATAGATCACTAGACAGTTTATAATGATAGGATTATATTGAGCGTATTTAGAGCTAGCTCAGAAACACAGCAGTTATGTATATTTTGTGTGGGGGGGGGCTATTTCATCTTTGCTCTTACTGCTGGACCTGTAAGTGCGCTGCAACATTTGAAAATTCCCCACTGTGGGACAAATAAAGGTTCTCTTATCTTATGTTTAAATAGGAAGGTATAAAGGAGGATTATCCCAAATTTTAGGAAAGAACGGCTCTCCACTTTTTGAGCAAAACTCTCTGGTCTTATTTGACGAGCACGTGTCACAGAATGATTAACCAATTGGACCAAACGTCTTGATGATCCACGCGCAAGTAGAACATCCTCTTTGTACCTTTAGCTATAGTCAAACTCTGGGTCTTTAGAAATGATAGCCCAGGGACACTCATGTCAATCAGACCAGCCCTGGATCAGGAGAGGTCGTGTGTATACACCTGTTACCAATTTGACTAAAATGATGATTACTTTCGGCATAGTCGTGTTTTATTAAAGCTATCATTAGTTCAAGCTGCCGAGTACAATAGCATCTGCTTGTGCTGCTTTAATTGTCCTCTTAGTAATTTTGTAATGTTGAAGTAGTGTCATGACAAGGTAAAGAGTGGCTCCATAAAATAAAGTAATGGCTTCGATAAATGTCTGACAATTGACTTGAATTTAATTATGTTGCAGTTCATTTATCCCACTGCATAAAGCACCTTGTTGAGTGCAAAGTCTCCACTTGGCATTTTTTACGACCAAACAGCAGGCCGGCACAATACTACCAACCAGGCAAATTAAAACGTCATGAAGGAGATCACATTATTTATTTATTTTTCATAGATTTTTGCAATGCGTTTGGCATTACTTTTTGGATCTTGTCAGCTCAAAACATTACACAAGTCGTATCTTTGAAAATCAGCCAACCGCTTCTCTTAAGTCTTTATTTATTTATTATACGATTATGGTTTTTTGATCAGGACAACACACATTGAAACACTTGTATAAGTTTGAGAGTTTTTAGTCAAAATTGTTAAAAGGCCAGATTGTAAAAAACAAAAAAACTAATAAACTGCTAATTTACATTTATAGTCCCAGGCGGGTCACACACAAGCTTATCTCCGCTGTTGAAACTATTGTGCACCACTTTTGCTGTCTATGGGGCTTTTCAAAATGGGCCTCAGGCAGGGAAAATGTTGAAAATAAATTGCACATGCGTTAGCCAGCACCAGCCCCCATTCATTTAACGGGGGCATTCAAAAGTCCACAGCGGCTAAACTAGACTGGTCAGCATTCACACCACAAAAGCAACTTCTGGACACATCCTGTAAGCGTTTTTGAGAGGACAGAATGGCAGCTATACAATAACTGGGTTTAATTCTCTTTCTGAGGTACACCCCACCAGCCCAGAGTGAGATTGCTGGCATGTCAGTGGTGCTCATGGAACCTCTTGGGAGTTAGGACCCGCCCCCCGTGGGTCTACAGGTACAAGAATGTAAAGGGGGATAAGAAAAGACAAAATAAAAATTATACAAATTCTAATTCTTGTTCAAATGAGTCCAGGTCAGGACCAAGTCACTTACAGTTAAAACACTGTTCTGGACCATTTTTTTCTTTTTCTTTTATTGATTATTTTTATTTATAAGTCAGATTGTTATCAATGTCACTCTTTAAGGTCTTCCTGAGCCATAGTGGACGTACAATTATCAAAAAAGTGACCCCAAATGATATTTTGGCAAAAGCTCAAGTGATACAAAAAGCCTGTAATGCCCTCATTTGAATATTTTCTGAATACTAAAATGGATGTTGTCATATTAAAAAGTCAACTCCTCAGGGCTATAAAGTGGAAATTGGCTTTTCCTAACATTCCATTTCAGCTGTTTGTAAAACTTCTTGTTGTAAGATCAATGAATGCCCATTTAAATAACCCAGGGCTTTTGCCACAGTGATCTATGACAACAATACTGTATTTTGATGCTTTGCCGAGTGGGAAATGTGCAGAAGGGCAAAACTGCAGACAGTGATTGAGCCTTATGGGAAACTTAGAAAAGCATCATGGGACACTAAGGACTAAGTAAGCTAGAATGGTGGTAGCAAAACTGCTGCATTTAACAAACCAATGCATGTTAATGGGAGTTCTTTTAATCCAGGGGTCTCCACCAGCAGCTCGGGAGTCACCCAGTAGCTCGCCACCCCACAAGGGTTAAGGCGCGTTCACGCTGGACTTAACTTCCAATTACAAAAGCATTGAAAAGTGAAACTTGGCGCGCTTCAAAAGTTGCGTGTAATACGTCACTTGAAGCTTTTGAGCAAAGCTGTGCTTTTGAAGCTTTAACGCGGGCTTCAACCAATCAGGAGACGAAGAGCAGCAGCAGTGGGTCTGTCTCTGTCATGGAGAGAAGTCATGTAGCTGCTGCTGTTTTATTGTCAGTATTCTTATTAGTAATATTATTTGTATGATAGTAACGTTCTTAAGTACGTAACAAAATCAATGTAAACATATTGTGAAGTACAAGTAATTTATTTAATATAAGAAGAAGCTGACGATGAGTCTGGCTCAGAGCAGTAGCGAGGCAGCTCCAGGTGGGCAGAGGCGAGCGAGAGGCGAGAGAGCTCTTGGCGGGCAGAGGCGGGTTGCGGGTACTCAAACCCGGGCGAGTGACATGGGGAAGTACCGCTGAAAGCGAAACTCCTCCGTACGCAGCTCTTGGAGTAAACGGTGAAACTCAGCAAACACTGCAGCCTCTCAAGTCTGTGGTGAACCCTGAACACGTTCTGTAGAAACCCCACAACAAGGTTGTTTGGCTTTATATAACAAAGGCTCGCTGCTCTCTGGAAAATCCACCGTTGTCTTGACGACCGGCAACAGAGAAGGTCCTCCCACCGGCGTCAGGCGCGTCACTCGCGTCGGGAGCTTTAAACACCAAGGCGTTCACACCGGACCCAGCGTCAGTTGACACGCGTCAAAAGCTTTTTGAAGCTTTTGGTCTGAACGCGCCTTTACACTTATGTTGGTCATGTGACATAGGGTAACGTCACAAGGGCCACCGGAAGCTCAGTGCTGCACGGGTATAGGAGGATCTTTGTTGGTTTTTGAAGTTGCATTTTGATCCTCCTGTACACTGGGCTTTACTCTCCCATCGTAATTTTTCCTCAAGTGCATAGAAGGTGACATGAACACCTGCACATTGTCTTTCACAATTATTAATACTAGGCCATAATTGTATTTACATTTGAAGTTACTTCTAAACAGCTGACTGGATTAGAAACAAAAATACTCCTTAAAACATCAATTATAAAATCTAAAGGCCCATATATTGACCCCTGGGGAACTCCGCAACTGACTTAATTACCATACCATTAGATAAAGTGTAGGATCGACCCACCTACTTAACTTATTTCTGTTTGTTAGGTACCAACAGAAACTCCAAAAGTTCTCAGCTCGAAAGCCACGAGGGGTGGGACTCGCGGACTGTTGAGCGAGGACCGGACCGAAGTCTAGACCGGGGACCGGACCGCGGATCAGAGCGGTACGACTCGGAGCGCAGGGACCAAAGAGACCAGGGGAGAGACTCATCCTATGACCGGAGAAGTGGACACCAAGAGCGAGACCGCAGAGACCGGGGTGAGCTGACCATGTTGGAGAAACGACTGCCAGGTTAATGAGTAATTAAGTTAATGTTATTTGCTCTTGTTTTTTCTCAGACCAAAGATCTCCTCCCAATCGTCACCAAAACCGACCGGATGACTGCAACCGTGACCGAAGGGAACGAGAGAGAGAGAGGGAGCAGCGGGAAGCAGAGCGAGAGCGAGTGAGGGAGAGAGAGCAGAGGGAGAGGGAGAGGGAGCAAAGAGAGAGGGAGAGGGAGGAGAGAGAGCGTGAGAGGGAGGAGAGGGAGAGGAAAGAGCGTGATGAGAGGAGAGAGAGAGAGCAACGCCAACGAGAGTGGGATGAGCGAGAGCGGAGGAGAGAAGAGGAGCGTAAGACCAGGTGAGCCGCAAGACCAAGCCTTTAATACCTGAGCTGATCTGGGAACAAAGTCATTCAGCACAATACAAAGGGTAGTTTCAAGTTGGAATCATAGACTGTATAAAAGAATGTATCATTTTAACCAAAGAGTATAGAAGAATAAAGAGGCAAAACTCAATGTAACGTCTCATTGGAACAAACGCACCGCAGCACAACATAAGTGTCATAGAATATAGGAGGCTACAGGTTCCAATTCAGTGGTGGTTTAAGGAAACTGAATAGTTTACTTTTTTATAGCCTAAAGTAAAACAAAATATTTATTTTGGATCCGTTTTTATTTTACACTTGTCCGAGCACAAAGCTGTCAAAGACATTTATTCACAATTACAGTAAGCAAATAAACCAGGTTGATGCCGTACACACTGTAGCTGTAACATTCATGAACATCTGCTTCAATAAACTCTGTTCTGTTTGGATCGAGACTATGGATGATTCTTAAAGGAGCCAAAGTTTAACGACAGTATAGTGTGTAGTATGTTGCCATGGTAACCGTGGCAAAAATGCTGTTGTCGAAACTTTTTACAGAGTTGTGCCTCTTGTTATCTAGACTCTTTGGTGTAACCCTCATCATAACCTCAGTTCTGTGAAGCCTTATAGTGAAGGTCTCCAGAATTCTTTTTGGCTTCATTGACTTCCATTAAAGAGGAAAACGAGATTACTGTACAATCATTTGTGTCACACTCACCATTTTTGGCGTAAAAGTCTTGAGGGTATAATTTGAGCTTGGTTTTGTAAATTCAGATATGAGCCCTAACAACTGACCAATCATGTCTTCTGTTTCCAAGTTCATGTGGGAACAATTGGAGTGTCACAATTTATTGACTCTTTAGTTGCTCTGTCATTTGCCCATGGGGCCTGTTTTAGTTAGCTCTAATCCTCACTGCGACTTTTGGAGTTTGCTCCAATTGGTTTCTTCCACACTAGCACAAACACTATGAGTAATGTCACTCCCCCTGTGGTTATGTGGTTAAATTGGAAGGGACCACATTTCCCCCGGTGGCAGAATGAGCCCGGATGAGGCCGTCTTAACCTCTGTCTTCTGTCTTTAGCCGTAAGCGTCACCGCGCAGACGGCAGTTCCAGTCCCCGCGCTCCTGCCGGGGCCTCACCCAAACGCCCGACCCGAGACGCCAGCCCCAATGACAGCGATGCCTATCACAGTGGCGAGGACAAAAGTGAGCGTGCCATTGGTCGAGGGAAGACCAAGCCCCTCCCACCCAGCCCCCAGTGCCTGCCTCCATCTGACAGTAAAGAACGACAGTATTTCACTCTCCACTGAAGCGGGCTCCTCTGCTCCGGGCTTTGGTCAGAAATGAAACCACAACTAATATTATTAATTAATATTTCAGAAGCTTGTGGTTTGTGACAACTGTAAATCTATCACACCACTAAGTTTGAAAACCATAAATCATTCCAAATGTTTGGTGGTAGTTTCATTTTGGGCACTTTTTCTCTTTATTTCCTCTTCTCCTGTCTGTATTCTGGTCTAATATCAACAAAAGTCTGAAGCGTCTTAGCAACAGAGCTGATCCTGATCATTTAAAGAACAAACTAAAAGCAAAAATGCCATAGCGCTCTCTGCTGCCAACAGAGGGAGCTACAGCATTATTTCAAAGTTTGATTTCTGGAGCTGCTCTCTCAGGAGCTAACAAACAGCTCTTCTTTTTTTCAATATTTAGGCCTGAGCCCCGAACGGGGTAAGGGCCTATTTTTTTGGTCGAGCGATGTGAAATTCTGCACTTTGAGCCTTAAAGCTGCACTAACTGACTTTGGGATTTTGAATCCGCGGACGCGCTGGCCTCGCTCTTTCTGCTCCCCTCCCCGCACCCACGTAGCTATCGTCCCCCACACACACTCACTGTTGTTGACGGAGCTAGCGTCTCCCAATATGGATAAATCCATGTATCGTACATTTGAGCGTGGATGGCGTGACCATAGAACGATAGAACCGGGGAGCGCGGAGGAACGGGATTTTCTTTTGGACGGCTGTCTCGCTGTGTACGAAGTTTCAGGTTAGCTCCGCCGCTTGTTGTGCTAACTCGGCTGTCTGTGCTAAATCAGCTGTCTCTGCTAACGGGGGAACCTGTAGATTTCTCACGAAAGTGGGGGCAAGTGGTCCGCTGTGATTGGTCACAATCTGCGACCCGAAACACATTCTCTTCCTTGTTTCATCAAAACTCGATCTAAAATATAATGTCACGCCAGCACACATCTGCGCTACTTTTTCTTCAAAAGGACGTATATCCCATTTTCGTAATTAATACAAAAATAAAGTCAGTTTGTGCAGCTTTAATTTGACCCCCTGAACATGCATGAAAAGTTGTTACATTTTGCCCAAAAATCAGACCTGGCAAAAAAAAAAATATTTTGGTGTTTATTTTTACGGGACACAAAAAATGCCAGAACAGTCAATCAAGTTTGTCGTAGAGCCATAACATTTGGTACACATGTTCCTCAAGTCAAGAATTTTATGTCCCCGCCCTCTGACAAACAGGAAGCCCATAAATTTCACTGCAAAATGGAAAAATGAACAGCAATAGTTTTCACACATATCGGCCGATATGTGTGAAAACTATTACTGTTCATTTTTCCATGACTCCTCGGCCGTTTCACAGATTCGCCTCAAAATCGCTCCACATCATCTCAACAATAACTTCGGGGATTTTTGATCAGTGAAACATTGTTTGAGCAGCGGAGCGGCAAAATGTGACTTTTTTATTGGCATTTTTGACATTAGCAAATTTGCTCCCGTTTGTACAAAGACTAATTTGCTCAACTTGAATACATTGTTGAACTCCAGGGTGTAGGTCTTGTGAAAGTGAAATACTTGAGATTGGGCCATTAGCGCCCCCTACAGATTGAGGCAAAATTTAACATGGGGAGCCAAACCAACTCAACTGATCATATTCATTACAATTTCACAAACATTCTTCTATGGCTAGAAAAAAACATGGCTCAGCGGCGGCACCTCCGATGCGCGGTGCGGCGTGGCGTGGTGTTGGGCGGCGTGTTGCGGGTAGCGGTGCGGTGTGTGAGGGCCGTTCGACGCCGTTTGCGGCTTTTATTTATTTATTTTTTTCACATTTTGACAAACAGGCTTAGGTGCATCAATTTTTGGCAGTTTTACATGTTGACAAATACAAAAAATAATAATAAAAATGATAGGAAGGAAATATAGTGATGACACAGTACTAGTCAAAATTACTTGTTTCAAGATGAACCAGAAATGGATTTCACATATTAGAAAATCGGTTAATCAAACAGGACTGTAAGGATCTCCATATTTATCAATAACAGCATTTCAGAGAGCCACACTTTAAACGATGGAGAAGCAGAGGATTTCCACTCGTCCTAGTTCCAATGGTGTCTGCATTATAGCTGGAAAGTTCTTAGTGTCTGAGTGTCCAAACATGGCAAGACATGGTTCAGGGGAAACATTTGTCCCATATGCTTTGGAGTTCCAGTTGAACACTTTCCCCCAAAAGCTATCCAGTGAAGAACAGGACCAGAAAGCATGCGCCAGGGTGCTCTCTGATGACTTACAACAAACAGCTCTTCTTGTGCAGGTGATAAACAGCGCCTGCTCAGTGCAGTGGTGCGGCCGCAGGACGCTCCACTGCGCTCGCCCTCACGCAGCGCTGCGTTTGAAGAGAAGCTTCCACACTGGAAAGAAGAACGCAAGAAGGAGGAGAGAGGGAGAGTCACAGAGAGGAGAGAGCACGCACCTGAGGCTACACAGTACGACACAGACACACACAACACTCAAGGTCTCCTCAGAGGTCACAGTCCCCTTCTTACAGCAGAGCCTCCTGTGTGTGGAGAGCTCTGTTTTTTCAATGGGGCAAAATAACATCCTTCTTCCCTCCCTGATGGATACTGTTCCTTTTAAGGGTCTACAGAAAAGTGCACATTTAAAAATAAAACATTCTTTGTAAAAGCCCAAAATAGTTCTTTCTGACTTGTGCAGCACATTTCAGTTTTCTACAATTCCAGCTTTAACTCTTAGTTTCCACTTCTCTTTCAGTGCGGCGTCTCAGGAGCCTGGGACCAGGTCCAGAGAGCGTAGAGAGTCCCCCACTCCCACCCTGGACGACTCGGGGTCCCACGATGAAGCCAAGAAGAAGGGGAAGTCCCAGAAGAAAGCGCTGAAGAAGGGAAGGAAGGAACCAGAGGATGGAGGAGTTAAGGCAGCTGACTCCTCCAACTCAGAGCAACACTCCCCCAGGAAGGGAGCCAAGAAGAAGACTGTGGAGCGCAAACGCAAGAGAGGAGGTGCCGGTGAGAAGCAGGTGCAGGGGAGTAGGAGGGGTTAGCAGGGGGGCTGTAAGTGAGAAGGTGGTGCAGGAGGAGGGGAAGGAGGAGCGATGAGGAAAATGAAAAGTGGAATTGTTTGCCAATTTCAGCTTGAGGCAAAGAAAAGTATCAAAAGAAAATGTTTTGTCCTTTGTACTGGACACGGCCATGTTTTTGAGAACTGCCACTACTTTCACATTTAAGCCGAGAGAGGAGAGGTGGGACCGAGTCAGCTGTTCCCATAGTTACCATAGGTACCAATAAAGATGTTTCTGTTACTTCGCCTTAATGTGAAGCTATTGCTCTTTGGATCATGCTGATAAAGGACATCTCACTTGTCTCTCAGATCGTCCGTACAAATGAGTTTCTCTTCTCTTCAGCTTGAGTCTGTAGTTTGATTCTCTTCTCTTCAGGCGGAGAGTCTGATGCCTCTGAGGACGAGCAGCAGAACAAACGTAAACGCGGGCCTCAGACTCCGCCCTCCGCCGCCAAAGCTCCCACTAGAGCTGCTTCTCCACTCCACAAAATGGACAACTTCAGCGACTGGTCGGACGAGGAAGTAATGGAGAGCGTGGCGGAGCGGCGTCCTGCAGGAGTCCGACCAGGAAGAGAGCGAGGCCTCGTCCCACCTCCTCTACTGTCCCAGGACACTCCCATCCTGATCCCCACCCCCCCACCGCTCATGTCCCAGCCTCTGCTCAGGAAGCCCCCAGGTACACACTGAAGCTACAGGTACACACTGAAGCTACAGGTACACACTTAAGCCTAGTTTATACTCGCGCGGCGCGGAGCTTACGGAGGTGACGTGACGTCACTTGCGCAACGCGTTGGTCACCGCAAGGCCCTTACGTCGCCTGCCGCGCAGCATCGACATTTTCTAACTACGTAAGGGTCGCCGCAAGGAATCTCCGCTGTGATTGGTCCGTGTGTGTGTATTGGAAGGAAGCACGGAGCGGCTGCAGCAGGGACATGGAGGAGGCACTATGGAGCAGAGAGCTTTGTGCTTCGAAGGAAAAGCAGTTTGGGCTCAGAGCCTGATATACAGGAGACAGTGGACTATCTAACGTATATATAACTTATAAACTGTGCAGTCGTTTGTTTTGCACTGTTCCTGTCTTTGTTGCGTTGGTTGCTTTCCTCCTGCACTCGTAAATCGTTCATGTTTGTCTCAGATATTTACCACTATTATTGTTTGGCTGTTTGTGCTGAAAACTATTTAATAATAACTATGTTTCCAACCAGAACTGTGTCTTTATTCACAGCATCACAGTTGAAATGACTTATAAAATAATGAATCCATAAAACTATCACATAAACCTACAGTAGAAACACGTGTAATGAGCTCAAACAGCTTTGTTTGCTATTGTTCTGAAGAGGACAAAGTAGCAGCGTAAATGGGACCGCTCCTGTGTGATCGCCCTCATGTGGTTTGTTGTGGGATTACAACATTCTCCTCAAAACTCTGTAAGGGGAACGCGCCAGTATAACATCAGTTGTGCTTACGTAGGTCCACCGCAACCGCTAACGTAAGCCACGCCGCGCAAGTATACACTAGGCTTTAAGCCGCCATGTACACACTGAAGCCCCCAGGTACACACTTTATCTTGACTGAACAACAGCTTGTTCTTCTATTGTAGAAATTCTTTGTAATTTAAGTGAAATATGGAAAACCAACCATCTCATAGATCCATGACCCTGATCATAGATCCATGACCGCATGGCTGCATGTTGCTTTAACAATAGCTAGCTCAAAAGCAAAAGTAATGCATGCAAAACAGAAACCTAGCACTAGGGGCGCACTTATTAGTCATTTTATTCATTTTCACCAACCATGAGTGAGAAGACTATGCCATAAAAGAAGTATTTAAATAATAGTCTGGATTTCTTGTCTTCATTCCCCCTTCCTTTATGATTGGTGAAACTTGAAACTGTGCCTACATATCACGCGCCAGATAAATGGGCCAAGTTGTGTGGAGGAGAGATTATTAATATAAATATTCAAATATTTAATCATAATTTATTATACAGCTCCTCACAGCAGCAGTAGAACGCTCCATTGATTTGAATGTAATTTCAAAACGTTCATCTGATCATTATTTCTTGATAACTGACCTCTCAAACCAATAAACGCTGCCCTTTGGCAACGCGCTCTGTGCTTGTACTTCAGGTGTGTAAAATACTAAGATTACTCCGGATTGTAGTTCTGTACACTTTGTCACAACGGGCTTTCAGCGCCTGTCCATTACTTCTGTCTGAGCCAGAGAAGCTATCGGAGCTAGCCACGCTCAATAACACAAATATCAATCAATCAACACATTTAAATGTTAATCGGAGAATACATTAGACATGTACATTCTTAGCACACGTGCAGGGAGGTTTACAGCAGTGGTTCCCAAAGTGGGAGTCCCGACCCCACGGGGGGTCGCGTGAATCCCTGGGGGGTTGCAAGATGATTTCCGAAAAAAAAAGGGAACCCTTTTATAGCCCTTAAATATTTATTTTACATTTGATTTTATTCAAAAGGACTAGTTGTTAAATTGTGTTTAGAGAAGTCTGAACACTGACAGTAAGTACGAGGCAGAATCTGCAACACAGTCTCGGGATGTTCTGACCCGATCCAAGCGCAGTCCAACTACTGTCACAAGTTTCAACTAAACTTATTCAGGGACAAGCATCAAATAAAACACACAGAATCCCCACAAAACGATCGCCAGAATAATGTATCAGCAGCGTGAGTGAATGTTCTGTTTTTCTTACCTGGTGATGCAGATAGGGCGCTGTGGCTAACGCTAATGCTAACATGAGCTTTGCCATGTCCTGCTGCTGCTGTGTATATCTCCTGCTTCTTTGATCACCACAGTTTTAACCTCATACAGACTTTATTCCTCCATGTATCTCTTCTCTTCACAGCGCGTTTGTAAAACTATATATTATAATAGATCCATGGTAAAACATGGTAGAGCCTCTGTGTAGGGTGCTGCTGCCTGAACGCGGTCTTGTTTACATGTTGGCTCCACGCGTCTGTCAAGTGCCCGAGACGTTTGGAGAGATCCGGTCATTTATCAAACTAAAGTATTCTTTCCTTGGCAGTCTGGTGAAAGACTGAAAGTTGAGGAGCACTGTCAAACAGTATAGGCAAAAGTCTCCTTAACTCTACAGGCACCCGTACTCGAATCTCAATATATGAGACTGCAATATAAGATCTCAACGCTAGAGGCACTAGAAATTACACAGTGTACCTTAAAAATGAAACGTGGTAAATATCCACAACAGAAAAACCCGGAGGGGGAGAAAAGTCACATGTGTCAGAGGTGAATAGCGCATTTATCATGGGGGTTGCAGGCTAAAATCTTTGGGAACCCCTGGTTTACAGAATGATCTGTTTACGTTTTCATGACAAAAATAGAAGACAAAAGTGATGGCACGTTAGTTTCAACAGCGGAGAAAAGCGCGACTACGTCCGTTAATATTTACAGTCTATGGTTCAGATACAGTGCTGACGGAACAATCGACGTAATATGCTCATGCGCATGCGCATTTACTTAATTCTTTTTTTTTTTTCATTTTGTATTGAAAATAAAAATTAAGACATTTAAGAATAATTTTATTAAGACATTTTTCTTGCGGCCCAGCTTCCCCTAGACTCTGTATTCAGTGGCCCCCAGGTAAATTGAGTTTGAGACCCCTGCTTTAGGTGCATGTCGGTGTAACTTCTCCAAAAAGTAGGAGTTACTTCGTAGACTAAATAGTCTGATTAAATAATCAGATCTGATTAAATAATCAGATCAGAACGATGGTCAACTTCAATCTCAGAGATGTTTCAGTTCTATCCAGACAACTGAAGTTTGTGTTCTCCAGGCGACATGCAGGGGGGCCGCAGCGGGAACATAGGCGGTGTCCAGGGAAGAGCTCCCGGAAGGAGGCCACGCTCTCCCTCCAACGAGACCCGAGAAGACCCACCCAGACCCCGAAGAGGCCGAGGGCTACCCCAGCAGCAGCAGCTCAACCCCAGAGACAGAGACCGAGACGTAGGCTCCAGGGACCTGGTGGGCTCCAGGGACATGGTGGGCTCCAGGGACATGGTGGGCTCCAGGGACATGGTGGGCTCCAGGGACATGGTGGGCTCCAGGGACATGGTGGGCTCCAGGGACCAGGTGGGCTCCAGGGACATGGTGGGCTCCAGGGACCAGGTGGGCTCCAGGGACCAGATGGGCTCTAGAGACCCAATGATGTCCAGAGAATCTATGAGTTCGAGGGACCCTTTGATTTCCAGAGATCGTGAGCGAGAGCCAATCCTTCCCAGAGAGCGGGACCGGGATCTTGGTGTTCCCAGGGAGCGGGACCGGGATCTTGGTGTTCCCAGGGAGCGGGACCGGGATCTGGGTGTTCCCAGGGAGCGGGACCGGGATCTGGGTGTTCCCAGGGAGCGGGATCGGGATCTGGGTGTTCCCAGGGAGCGGGACCGGGATCTGGGTGTTCCCAGGGAGCGGGACCGGGATCTGGGTGTTCCCAGGGAGCGGGACCGGGATCTGGGTGTTCCCAGGGAGCGGGACCGGGATCTGGGTGTTCCCCGGGATCGGGATCTGGGTGTTCCCAGAGAGCGGGACCGGGATCTGGGTGTTCCCAGAGAGAGGGAGGCAATGACTTCCCGGGATCGAGAGCGAGAAGTCATCCCCAGAGATGGGCCGCGCGACAGGGAGCCGATTAACACCCGGGAGAGGGATCAACTCATCCCACGAGAACGAGAGCAGATAATCACTCCTCGAGACCGGGACCAGGTGAACATCCGGGACCGGGAGCGCGAAGGAGCAGTGGGACCCGAGAGGAAGTCCAGGATTGACCAGCTGAGAAGAGGAGAGCCCAGTAGAAGCACCTCCTCAGGTAAATGTACGACACAGAACTGGGCAGGGACTAGTATCAAAAGCATAGAAAGGACGTATGGAGAACCAGTGGGGACCAGTGTTTTGTGTTAGTTTTGGGGACCAGTGGAGCGTGTTGTGATGTCGACTTTAACCTGGTCTCTCTTCAGACCGGCAGGATTCGCGCAGCCACAGCTCCAGACGCAGCTCCCCGGACTCAGAGCGCCAGGCCAGGTCCAGAGCCGGTTCATACGACAGCAGGGACCGCGAACCTCGATCTCAGAACCCCCAGACCTCCCACCCTCCACCGCAGCCGGGCAGAGACTGGGAGCCTGAGCCTCACGAGTGGAGCCGTGGCAGGGAACCGTCACACAGACCCCCTAGGGGCGAGTTTGAGCCGCTCCTGCCCAGAGAAGCATTCAGCCCCATGCCAGAGAAGACCAACCACCAGGGGGAGCTCCGGGAGGTGAGGGATGCCAGGGAGGTGGTCAAGGCAGACAGCATGGACGGTAAGAGAAGTTACTGAAGGGTCTCTCTTCCCCAAGTTCGTACTGTTCCTCATGTTGTGTTTGGAGCAGAGGACGATGGGAAAGAGGACGACGCTCAGTCGGTGGCTTCAGCTGGAGAAGTTTATGAACCTATCAGCGATGACGAGTTAGACGAGATCCTGAACGACAGCCACAAGAAGGAGGACCAGCAGGAGGAGGAGCGAGGTTCAGGTCAGTACAAGGAGGATGGTGAGAACGTTCAGGTCAGTACAAGGAGGATGATGAGAAGGTTCAGGTCAGTGCAAGAAGTAGGAGGAGAAGGTTCAGGTCAGTGCAAGAAGTGGAAGGATAAGGTTCAGGTCAGTACAAGGAGGATGTGTCCCTGTCCCTGTGTTCATGTCCCTGTGTCCCTCAGGTCCAGTGGATGTCATCGATGTGGATTGGTCGTCCCTGATGCCCCGTCGCTCTGAGCCGCGAGCCGCGGGAGCAGCTCTCCTGCGCTTCACTCCAGGAGCAGCTCTCCTCAGAGCAGGAGTCTCCAGGAGGCTGGCAGGAGCTCAGCTGCTGGAGAGGGTGAAGGAGGCGTGCCGAGTAGAGCTACAGGACCCTAAAGGTGAGAGCTGTTTGAACTGGACACAACTGAGACTGACACATACAGCTGTTTGGTTTGCGTTGCCAGATGAATAGAACTGTTGGATTTGCGTTGCCAGATGCAGAGAAGCTGTTCGAGCACGACTTGGGGGCGTTGAACATGGCGGCCCACAATCGCAGAGTAGAACGAGCTGGACTCTTGCGGAACCTGGGACCCTGCTGCAAAGCTCTCTGTGCGAGAAGAGACTTCTACATCAGGAGACAATTGCTGAAGAATGACAAGGTATCTGCTTTGGACCTGCTTTGGACCTGCTTTGGACCTGCTTTAGACCTTGTCTAAGACCTTCTCTCTCCTCAGGGTCTGGTGAAGCAGTACCTCTCGACCCCTGTGGTGGATCATGAGCTTTTCCAGATGAGCGTGCGACTCTTCAAACGTGCTGTAAACGGGTCCGGATCTCCAGACCTGGGACCAGAGACGGGGACTAAACCCGGACCAGAAGCCGGAACTAAACTCGGACCAGAGACCGGAACTAAACCCGGACCAGAGACCGGAACTAAACCCGGACCAGAGACCGAGACTAAACCCGGACCAGAGACCGGGACTAAACCCGGACCAGAGACCGGGACTAAACCCGGACCAGAGACCGGGACTAAACCCGGACCAGAGACCGGGACTAAACCCGGACCAGAGACCGGGACTGGAGCCGAGGTTGCAGTGAGACTGGAGACTGGTCCGGCTGAGGTCTGCGTCTCTTGAGCTGTTGAATCCAACGCGGCGGCTATTTTGTTTACCGTAGTTTAATCAAAGTCTCCTCCCCCCGCCCCTTCTGTCAAAATCCTTTTTTCAATCTCTTCATGGACAGATTTCTGAATAAGTGTTTCTCGCACAATGTTCTGAAAGCTGGATGTATGTGGGAGTGTTGTCATTCTAGTCATCTCTTACTCCACGTTTCTCCATATAATTCAATATCAAAATAAAGAGTATATCATGTGAGAGACGTGTCTGACTTTTAAAAAACTTTCAACTTTGTTTTTCACTTTGATTTTGGTATGTTTATTTTTGTGCATAAACTGCATTAAACGGCTGATGTTGAAAGTCATTCTAGTGTTTATTATTTACGTATTTTATATTTGAATGAGTCGAGCCCATAGACTTTATGTCGAGCCTCAACGTGAGGTCTTGTGTTAAATAGCGGGTTGGCGCCCTCTTGTGGACTAAATGTAACGTGAAAACATTTGGAACTAAAATGTCTGCTCCGTTGTATATTTTTTAAAGTTCAACTTCACGGTGTAACTTTTAATTTGAATGTAACTTTATAACCTCTATTTGACTTGTTTGAGGAGCTTACAATGTATGAGTAAAATGTATCTGGCACTTCAGGTTTGGAGTCATGGATCTATAATATCTAAACTCTGCCCCTTCATTTGTGTATGTACATTACAGTATATTATTATACACTGTCTATGAGCTCAACTCGTTGAAATAAGCAGTATATAACAATATAAAATTAAGTAATATTATGATTGTATAATGAATTATTCAAATACACTAGTTCACGCTGGAAAATACTTGTGGGTTTTTGTTTCTCCGCCAGAGGGAGCAGAGTTTTTACACACACTGATTTAGGACATAAAAAGCCTGGCCTTAGCCATCCGTAAACTCCGGTCAATTATCATTTCCCTAAATGTACGAAATTAAATAAGTATGATGGTGTGGTAAGACTTAATGTTTAGAGTCTATGGGTATTACCAGGCTTGGACAGAAATAAAAAAGTAGAGATTGAGATTTAAAATGAACCTAATAACCTCATGGTAATAGTAACATCGTATCATATTTATTTCATTTAAAATATTGTAATTTTGTAAACATATGTCGGAACTATTGTCCGCGTTTCTCTTGTTTCCCCCCGGACAGTATTTAGCCCTTCTGCGCGTTCACTCGTTCTTTCTGACTTCCGCCTCACGCACAGCTGCAGTAAGTATCCGCGCTTCTGTTTCTATTTCACATAATCTGATGCCATCCGCCGATTTAAGCCGAAAGAATTTATTAAAATATGTTCAATATGAGATTATGCAGGCACGAGCGCTTAGTAAAAAACAGTTTGGACCAGAAAAATAATAAACAATCTAGAGATTAGTGCCGATGCAGCCACGAAGTCTCCGCAGCTGCACGGAGTCCATTAAACACACAATACAAACCGGGTTTGAAATAAACTCTTCACTGTAACGTGTGTCGGATATCATAATTATAAATGTCTGAATGAGATCAGTCTTCATTGTTAGCAGGATTCGCTAACTACGTATTTTTTCGTGGGCTTCAAAGTAAACCGCTTTTATACATATTTTCAGTATTAATTATTGGTTTCCTGAAGTGTTCTGAAATAACCTGTCCGTCTTTTGTAATGGCGAAGGCTGCTTCTGGGATAGTAGTAGGTCTGCTCAAATTCAGACTTGCATCATCTGTAAATTACATGTGCAATTTGGTCGTGTGTGTATTGGTATTTAATTGAATTAATGATTTAAATAACATCAGCAGGTTCACTTTAGTTTACGTAGTTTGTAGATGAAACTGTCACTCTGCCTTTGGTTGGGTATGAAACCTGATTTGTTTTTGCAGATGGCTCCTACAAAGAAAGGCGAGAAGAAAAAGGGGCGTTCTGCTATAAACGAGGTGGTGACCCGAGAATACACCATTAACGTCCACAAGCGCATCCACGGAATGTGAGATATCCCTGACTAATTTTCCCTTGTAATTCTCGAGTCCTGTGGGTGATCTGTCAAACTGTTCACGCAATACTCACCTGCTCATGGTGCATCCTGATTCTGTCTTTGTATAGGTGGTGGTTCAAAGTCGATGTAGGAATATATTTGAACTGTAGATGTGTCATTGATCACTGTAGGAGAAATTCAGGTGTCCAGTATCAGCAAAAAATGAATTGATCATTCTAAAAAGCTAACAAAGGTAATAAGCTTCAGGTCACAGCAGCGGAGGTGGAGTAGGCGCTTGGTTTGGACCATTTTATTTGTTCTAGTCTAAATTAAAATGCTTAATTAGCATTTTTCTAAAAGTTAGCATTCCTCCAGTGGACTTTGGCCTGATACGCTTGTTTTGGACTATAAAGCCTGTTTTATGGACCTGTGCAAAACAATGAACACTGTACTGCAGATAAATCTCCGTTAGAGGAAAATTAATAATTGTAAATCACAAGTTTCAGGCTACTCAGAACTTTCCAGCGCATCAAAATGTTTTTGTACTACAAAAACCAAATATTCATAGGGGATTTGGCCTATTTATAATATATACTGTACAATATCAATAAATGATGTATGCTGTTCTCAAATGGCATTTCAGAACTAAACTTTAGATCTCTAATTATCTGGATGAGTCTTATCGCTTTGACTTTGTGCTGACCAACTGAATTCTTAAGATCAGTGAAAAAATAAGTGCAAACGGTCACAACAAAGTGATGGAAGTACTGTGAGCAAAGGGGGTTCGGGCTTTGACTAATTCGATATACAAAACTGATTTTTGGTTATAAATGCATTGACTCTCACCCATAAGGCTGAATGCACAAATTAGTCTTCAGTCTGCCCCAAAAATTGAGGCTTCATCTTTTTTCAGAGCAAAGTTTTCATGATTATGAGTTATAAATAATATTAATCATCATAATTCTCGATCTTTGTTGTCATCTTTGTTCCAGTGGCTTCAAGCGGCGAGCTCCTCGTGCCATTAAAGAAATCCGCAAATTTGCTGTAAAAGAAATGGGAACTCCAGATGTGCGGATCGACACCCGCCTCAACAAGGCCGTGTGGAGCAAAGGCATCAGGTAACTGCTGCATCAGGAATATCAGAGCTGTGTCCCAGAGGCTTTTACCCAGACACAACCTGCTGTCTGCATCCGAATAGACGTGTTAACAGCCAGTGGGTCAATTTGACTGATAGGTTGAGTGAGGGTGGTCCTTTTTACTCTATATGCTTCCGGTTTCTGCCAGATTTCATTTCAACTCCATTACATTGGACCACTACAACAGATTTCTCCCCATAAAACACCTTATCACACTCACATTTCTTGATTACCACAGCACCTTCAACAGTCTATGCAGCCCATGTTGGGGATTGTACTTCTATGAAATGGTTTCTGTATTGTGGTCACGATGAGGTAAAAGTAGCTCAGGTTTAAAGTATTTGTCTGTTTCAGGAACGTCCCGTACAGGATCCGTGTGCGTTTGTCCCGGAAAAGAAACGAGGACGAGGATTCTCCGAACAAATTGTACACGCTGGTGACATATGTGCCAGTCACCACCTGCAAAGGTGAGGGGGGGAGAAGGGGGCTGTACTGTGACATGTGCCAGTAGGGATGCACCGATCCGATACTGGTATCGATATCGGCGCCGATACCAGAAAAAATACTGGATCGGATATCTGCGTAGAGAGGCGCCGTGCTGCCGATCAATTTTCTTCAAAAAAAAAAAATTATATATATTTTTTAATACATACCAGGTACCGCACAATGTCTTAAAATACATTGTGCATAATGTACATGTACGTATAAAAATATTGAATTAAAAGTAATTTATCAGATCTCAAGTACAAGTCACTTCCTCGTGGCGCTCTACAACAACAACACAGCATGGAGCGCAGGAAAGAATCAGCGTTGTTCGCGCAGCGGTAAACTAGCGAAATACAACACGACTAAGCACCACGAGAAACAGCATGGGGAGTTTTTGCATCGAAAGGAGATTACGTGAAAACAAGACACAGATGACACTGACGCAGCGTCACAAAAAGCTTTTCAGCAACAACCCGAAAGTGTTGGAGTTCATCAGTTTGGGCTCGCAGCCCCATGGACCATTTGGAACCCAGGTACATGCCGTCGCCAAATACATATCTGAAATCCAGTTAAAGCTACGGTACTATTATTTATTTACATTTTCATGCAGCGTGTTCTGTTTGTTGTAAGTGTTTTTTTATTCAAACAGTTAATATAAGTGCATTTATATTCAATAAATGTATAAGGTATAATACAGAGTTGAATGTTTAATGTGAACATAGAGCAGCTCTTTATAGTTGCAGTATTGCACATTTATGTTGAATCCATTTTTATCTGGAAAGTTTAGCGCTTTAGTTCATCCACTGCTTTTGCAGTTACTTGAACAAAGAGTTCAATTATTAAATACATTTTAGCATGATCATTTCCGGTATCGGTCAATATCGGCATCGGTAGTAAAAAAGCTGGATCGGTGCATCTCTATGTGCCAGTCACCCCCTGAGACGGTAGGAGGTAGACTCTGGTTTGGCCAAGCCCCGGTGATCCAAGATGGCGCCCTATTCAAATGAATGGCTTGTGCTCAGTAGTGGCAAATACACGTGTGTGGCTCTCATGCATGTGCATGTCTTTCAGCTGAGGTCAAGCTGTTTGTTTACATTGGGTTCTATGGGGCTTTTGGGGGGGGGCTGATTTTAGTCTGCAGTACCCATGGATCTATAATAACTGGATAGGGTATTACTAGTTTATAGCTGTTCCACCAATGGGCCCGTGGTACTGCGGACTAAACGAGACTACGGCCCCGTCCACACGTAGCCGGGTATCTGCTAAACCGCAAAAAAAATAATTTAAACCGCTAGTCTGTGAAAGGCGGTATATAAAGATTACTTACTTACAGATATTTTTATTCGTTTGCACTTTTCCTCCACATGACCACGCATCAAAAACAAATATATAGATTTTTGAAAACTCAGTTTATGCATTTACGTGTAGAAAGAGATGACCAGACTTTTGCAATTCCGCACGTAGGCTTGTCACAATAACAATATCTTGACGATTGTGTCATAGTTTATTGCAGTAAGCGATACGATTGTCGTTCTGAGGTCATTTTCATCTAATACAATGATAATGATGCAGGTACCTTTTCAAAGAGAAATAAACTTTTATTTTTAAAGACCACCACCGTAAGCGAGCAGGCTTTGATTCTAACGCAGTTAAGCTAGCGGCTTTTTGTGTAAAGTTCTTCTCCAATAATGCAGCTCTGCAGCGTCTGTGTCCAGAGACTTTCCAGAGACTTTATAACAGCAGTATGTGTTCACGGAGCTGCTCCATGAGTTTATTTTAATATTAAACGGTACTAAACACGCTAGCTAAGTCCTGTTTTGGCTGTATTCAGTATTTTCAGTCTGCTCGCTAGACAGCTATTGTCCCCGTGACCACTTTGCTGCTCTCTAACTCGAGAGACGAGGAAAACAAACAAGCATGCAAATGGAATTCATCGCGGCCAGAAAAAATATCAAGCTAATTTTAATAATCATGCACTTTATTTATTGAATATTGCGACAGGCCTATTCGCACGTCACAGTATGCCCCCAAAACATGCGACCTCTGATCACTGAAGAAGCATGGATCTTACTGCCTTAAACTCCTCGCTCCACATCAGAGCAGCAAAGTGATCACGCACGCTCAAAGGACCAAAACAGGAGCTAAACCAGGATTAAACCAGGGCTGAGGACGGGGGTTAGTGCTTGTAAACATGTCTTTACCCTGAGTTTCTTCTAATGAGTACCGGTGTTGGCATCAAAGCTATGCCCACTTCTGTGGGTTTTTCTTCTTCTCTTACACAGGAGAGGACTCACATGTTTGGAATGTTAAGAATGTGATTGAAAACGCAGATGTTCGGTTATGTGTGTAGAACCAGACCGGAATACTTTACTATCGCATTCTTCGCCACTGCCAAACTACAACCTGCCTGTTTGGCACAAACTCTTGACGTCACCCACATCTAACTACAACACCCGCCTTCCGCGCTCTCTGAGTAGCCGGTCGAAATACGACCGATTGTAATCGCTAACACAGGGACCAGACCCAGACGTTACATGCAGTGAAATGATGATTGAGCGGAGTGTACGGATGGCCAAGTCCAGGCTAACTGTAATCATGTTTAAAGCAAAGTCAAGTGTAATATGCGACCTTTAGTCAACGTTCGCTAGTTGGTAGAGCATTGGCCTTTGGGCCTGAAGGTCGTGGGTTCGAGCCCACTGTAAGACCTACTTCACGACTCCCACTGATGACTGCTGTTGTTGTGTCCTTGGGCAAGACACTTAACCCTACTTTGCCCAAAGCCCCAACTGAAAGATCTCAGCTCCTGTGGACTCACCACCTGCAGGAGGATCAGTGAGGGGCTGGTGCTATGTGGACTGGGTGCAGCTCTGACTGCCGCCCCCCCAACCCAGAAATGGATTAAGAGGAAGAAAATGGATGGATGGATAGTCAACGTTCGCGTCCATGGGAACTTGCTAATTCCTTTCCATAGCAAATACAGGGTTTATGACAGACCTCTGGATCTATGAAATGCTGTTCAGTTATACTTAAAGCAGTTTTTTCTATTTATTGCAGAGATGTTTTTGCTGTATCTCTATGGTATGACTGGTTCAGTCCAAAATGACAGAAGTTTCATCTAGCGGTTGTCAAAACGGAAACTGAGTTTTGCCTCTTGATATATACTGATTGCTTTGAAAACCAGCTGACCCTGGTCTTAAGTCTGATGACAGGTGTTTGTGTTGCAGGTCTGCAGACCGTCAACGTGGACGAGAACTGAACCTGAAGAAAATAAACATTTGGAGAAAACCACTGTTTGAATCGTTTCTCTGGTCTTGTTTACACTCTTAAATCATAATTCTGCATAAGTATACATGTGGAGACTAAGATCCTTTTGTTTTTTCCGATCCATCTTCTTCCCCTATCTACTTCTGGGTCAGTCAGAGCTGCACAGGACAGCTGCTCTAGCATGAGCGTCCTTGATCGTTCAGTGGGGCTTTAGGCAAAGTCGGGTTAATTGTTTTGCCCTAGAACAAAGACTGCAGACATCAGTGGGATGTCTGTTCCTCCCATAGTGGGGAAATGTCAGTGTTACGTCACCTGTTAGAACGGAAGGAATGAGGAGCACACAGCACGAGTGAAATAACTATTAAAATCTAACGAGCATATTGAAGCTACCAAAATTTTGATCTCTTAACACCTGCCTCATTTTGGCTTGTGCACAAAAGTTGGGCATACCCAAATGTCTTTGCTTATTTAAAAACACATCTTACACGTCACATGCTTGTGTGATGCGTCATATTAAAGCTAGAGCCTTCTAGTTTATGTAAAAGTACACTCAAATGTTTGTCATTCCTATTTCACGCTGCATTTTATTTTAGCCTCGCTAAAAACGGCACCCCCATGTCCCACCCCTTGCTAGAAAGCTTTCTTCATTGGCTACACGGACATGTTAATCATTTGGCCGAAGAGCACTTCCCTAGCCAGCCGGCTAAAAACAAATGCAGACAGGCCATGTGCAATTGTTCGCTTGTCTTCACGGGCCTGTTGCAGACGCAGGCAGCTAGCTCTTCATGGAAGGTCTCATTCTGTAGATAACGAGCTGGGGAACACGTGGATACCATGTTTGTGGGTAAAAAAACAAAACAAGCTAAAGGTCCTGTAACGGTGAAAGAACAGCCTCTGCACTTTTTCGGGTTTTTTTGCTAAAGATAAATGCACATTTTTGGATTATTTCTCCAGAATGGATTATACTTTGGAAAATACAAGTGGATATTCCTTTTCAGTTGCAGAGTGAAAGAGGTATTGGAAGCTGGGAGGAGATCTGATATATTTATGCAGCACAAAACTTTTTCAGAAGTGATTTATTTTGTGCTAATTATGTTTTAATATCTTTTGAATGGGTTCAATTCCCACCTCTGCACCTTCTCCACCGACTCCCACTGATGACTGCTGTTGTTGTGTCCTTGGGCAAGGCACTTAACCCCACTTTGCCCAAAGCCCCCACTGAAAGACCAAGGCTATGATCACACTCAGAGAGCAGCCGTCCCCTGTGGACTCACCACCTGCAGAGGGTCAGTGAGGGGCTGGTGCTATGAGACTTGGGTGGCATCTCTGATTGCCACCCCCCTGACCCAGAAATGGATTAAAGGGTAGAAAATGGATGGATGGATGGATCTTTTGAATGCAAAGTCTGATGTAGTTTACACTTGTATATAAATGTATAAAATGAACAGAGGCTGTTCTTTCACTGTTTACGGACTTTTTGCTTTGTTTTTCACCCAAAACCATAGTATCCACGTGTTCAGCTACTCCTTAGCTTTAAAATGACATCTTCCATGAAGCTCTACGCGGTGTTTTAGGTCTAACATCTAAAGGATGCCGCTTGCGCAGTACTGCTAGTGGCTGCTCGTTGCGCATCTGTGGCCTGAGCTTTGTTGTCTCAGGACTGCTTTGCATCTACTTCCTGGCCGAAAGATTGACATGTCCGTGTAGCCAATGAGGAAAGCTTCCTATTAAGGGTTGGGACAATAGTGTACTGTTTTATTTTGTGTCCCTAGAAGGGTGCGCTCTCCAACCGCAATGATTTAAACTCATAAAAAATGTACATTGACTTTTTTTATTTTTATAAATCCCATAGATTAGTAACTTATGTACCAATAATTAAAAATATCGTTTTTATGATGATGAAATGTCAGTAAAGCATTTTGGAGAAACTGCATAAAAACTATAAAACTTAAAAGTCTGAAACTTTAGACAGTTGTCAACAACACAATGACCACAGGGTTTGAATATTGTGAACTTACAATGAAGTATGATTTTTTTTAGGGCCTTTTAGAAATTGAAACTTTTAGGCGAGGCTAAAGTTTTTTTTCCCACACTGCAAAGGATGCAGAGTGAAATAGGAATGACAAACATTATTTTAGTGTATATTTACATAAACTAGAAGGCTCTAGCTTTAATATTATGCATCACTCAAGCATGTGAGACGTAAGATGTGTTTTTAAATAAGCAAAGACATTTAGGTATGCCCAACTTTTGTGCACAAGCCAAAATGAGGTGGGTGTTAAGAGGTTAAATACTATTCTAGTGCAAAAACACTGCATGTGTTAGAGTAACTACAGTGACAATTTATTGCACAAATGCATGACATGTGAGGGCAGTGTTAAAGTCCTCATTGTTAGTTCAGTCAGACTGATCCACCAGGTCTTCCTGCTGCTGTCAGTCACTGAAGCTGCTCTCTAGAGCAGACTGTACTGCTGGGGGCGACAGTCATGGTCCACATAGATGTTAGTTTGTCCAAGAGCCTCCTGTCCCCCACCTGCTGCACTGTGTCCAGGGGACAGAGCTGGACTTTCTGAGGACCTGTTCCAGATTCTTCCCATCTGTGATGCCACATACTCCTGTATGATTTCAACAGTCATACAGGAGTGGCCCCTGCACTCCAAAAGACCTGATTCTCCTCAGCAGGTAGTGTTGGTTCTGGCCCTTCTTGAAGAGGGTTTGCGGTTTAAATGAACACCAGGAAAGGCAAGTTTATTTATATAGCACAAGTCATACACAAGGCAATTCAAAGTGCTGAACAAAACAAAGCATTACAATCATAAATAATCACAGAACATTAAAAACCACCAGGTTATATATATATATATATAAATTATAGATAATACAGCAGAGGATTGGGAGAAAGTCATGTGGTCAGATGAAACCAAAGTAGAACTGTTCGGTTTAAACTCAACTGGTGGTGTTTGGAGGAAGAAGAATACTGAATTGCATCCCAAGAACACCATACCTACTGTGAAGCATGGGGGTGGAAACGTCATCCATGTGCTCTCTGGCAAACTTCAGACGGGCCTGGACATGCACTGGCTTCAGCAGGGGGATACGTCTGGCACTGCAGGATTTGATTCCCTGTCGTCGTAGTGTGTTTCTGATGGTAACCTTTGTTACTTTGGTCCCAGCTCTCTGCAGGTCATTCACCAGGTCCCCCCGTGTGGTTCTGGGATTTTTGATCACAGTTCTCATGATCATTTTGACCCCACGGGATGAGATCTTGCGTGGAGCCCCAAATCGAGGGAGATTATCAGTGGTCTTGTATGTCTTCCATTTTCTGATAATTGCTCCCACAGTTGATTTGTTCACACCAAGCTGCTTGCCTATTGTAGATTCCCAGTCTGGTGCAGGTCTACAATTCTTTTCCTGGTGTCCTTCGACAGCTCTTTGGTCTTGGCCATAGTGGAGTTTGGAGTCTGACAGTTTGAGGCTGTGGACAGGTGTCTTTTATACAGATGAGTTTAAACAGGTGCCATTAATACAGGTAACGAGTGGAGGACAGAAGAGCTTCTTAAAGAAGAAGTTACAGGTCTGTGAGAGCCAGAGATCTTCCTTGTTTGAAGTGACCAAATTCTTATTTTCCAGCATCATTTACAAATAAATTCTATAAAAATCCTACACTGTGAATTCCTGGATTTTTTTTTTCACATTCACTCACCCCTCCCTCTGTCTGTCTCCCTCTCCTTCAGTTCTCCTCCCCCACCCACACTCTGACACGCCATATTGGACGGGGTGCATCAGAGTTACCATGGCTGTGTCCAAAACGCTAGGCATCGGGCCGCGTAGGGTGGATATGTAGGCATCGTGACGTCACTTCCGCAAGCGACGGCTATTGCAGGGGTGTCCAAAACCACTTGGCGAGCTCGCCAAGCGTAGGCATCATGACTTCGTCTCTATGGAAACGGCCACTTTTGGAGCAGATATGAAGGATGCATCTGATGTATGCTTCGTTGCCTTCTTTTTGCCGAGTCACGGCCGCGCATGCGCAGAACTCCGTTCGGCATTAACATGTAAACAACAGCTCGGACCTGCTGGAGCTAACATTATGGTAAGCACTTTACTGTGAAGTTATGTCTATAGTAAGTACTGCTATACTTTACTGTTGAGTTATGAACACGACTGTTATGATAAAACACAGACATAAATTAGATCTGCCACAGATGTGTGTATTTAACCTTGTTATCTCCTGTAAATAAGCTCAGTCCCGAAAAGCTAATGCTACGAGGCTAGTTCATTCAGATTCGGTTTTTGAACAAGAAAAATCATGTTGTGTTTTATCTTTTAGGGAGAAACAAACCCACTGATTAATTATTAAAGCTACACTGAGGAAATAGTCACGTTTTCATGGAAAATCACTCTGCAGCACAGCAGCTATAGTATGCTAACACATGTTTTCTGTATTCATATAAAATAGATTGTGCATATCGTTTTTAATCCCATACTGAGACTGGGAAAACTGTATATATTAGACATATGAAATTATAGAATAGGCCAACAATAATTATAAAGCCCTTTTCATACAATAGTCTAATAAATAGTAAACACACATTATACAGAGGTTTTGTTTGTCATGAATAAGACATTTGCAGAGGACAAAGTCCCACTTCCACAAACACAGGTTTAAAGTGGTTAGCCATGCTCATAACTTGATTATGTGTGTATATTTCTATCTTATCATTCTTCTGTTTCCCCTGCTGTGAAGCTTGTATCTCTAATATTAAATACTGTAAGGATTTCTGTATTTTATTTTTAACCAGTTTTTTGCAAAGCCCCAAATAAATAGTATTAGTTGAATATGAAGTGTAAAAAGAATCCTAAATGTGTGTTTTAATGCATGATGTTTGTGTTCTTCTTTTTCAGAGACTTGTGGTGAAATTAAGGTCATAATTTCTCCAGCTTCACCTCCATCACCTCCTGCTTCACCTCCATCACCTCCTGCTTCACCTC